TCCGCTGGCTTATTCAACCCGCTAATCTCTCTGGTGGGTTGTGTCTGTTGCAGGCTAAGCCTTGAGATGCCTGGCCTGTATCAGCCTGATGGGATACAAGCAGCGACAGCGGGGGGAAAAGGAAGTGAGAAGGAGCAAAAAAAAAGATGGATGTAGTCAGCTTGAATGAATCTTACCATGTAATTTCTTCTGCTGATCCTATTCAGTATGCTTTACTTATCTGCTCACAAGCAGCATATTCGTTTTTACACAAAAATAAACAGAAAGATAGACAATGTGCACACTCTGACTGCCTGCCTTGGTTTCTAGGCACACAGTATGAGATCGCTGGTTTGAAAAGGCTTCAGATTTTTCCCTTAGTGAGTTTAGGCAAAAAAAATATTTTGCACAACCAAGCTGGTGCTGGCAAAAAAAGTGTTCTGATTCTAAAAATAGCCAAAAAGAAAGGAAAACCTCTGGAAATCAGCATGAGCACCATATCTGTGTATTAGGTCCACAGTGAAATACATTTTGAGAATAATTTCATGATTTTATGATAATAAAGTAGTAGTATTACAAGAATAAAGTCAGAATGTTAGAATATTAGACCCTTACTAAAGTATAACTTCACAAGATGCTGCACAGTCTTTATTTTAACACAGGCAACAGGCTGATATTACTTAGTGTAACTTATGATTATTATTCTTGTAATATGACTTATTTAAATAAAGATTCTACTGCAATTTAGTGCTGCACTTTCTTGAAGTTGGGAGACATAGACTGATTGAAGAAGTCAAAGAGTCCACAGCCAGGCTATAGCTGCTCTGTGAGGCCATAATTGGGCACAGAGGTGCTGCACATGTCTGTTAAAAAGTGCAGCCCCCTCAACAATAACACTTGAGTAAATTTCTCAGACTTAAGAACGTGCTTCCCTCTATATTCACTTACAGTTTTCACAGGTTGAGGATTTGAGTGATTTGACTTTGAGGAGTGTCCCAGTAAATCAGTAAACCAGTAAAAAGTAATTTGGACTCGCAGACAACCTCGACTACTTGGACTTGTTCTCTGAGGATGAGAGTGTGGAGGACTAACACAGGTCCATTAGGATGCATGGACTAACAGAGGAGCTCTAATACAGCACCCGAGCGCCTAATGTCCAGGAGAGAGAACACTGTCGAGAGCATCATGTGTTTCATTTGTTTCAGTGATTAATGATCCCTCCCCTACAGCAAGAGAAAATTGAGTGTCTCCATTTTATCTATACATTACAATCATCTTTCTTCTTCCTCAACACTCTCCCTGGAGCTTGTAAATCATGGCCTCTGCCTAATTTTATGGATGGTGTGTATGCAATTAACACAGTGTCCACACTTAATGGACGCATATCCACTCCACTGGTGCACCGAAGCCAAAGTTTTGTCCAACAACCCACACATGGTTTTGTATCTAAAGGACATATGTTTGACTTCATCATCCCAGCAGCACCGGCGCTCAGCAGAAGTCGCGACACACTCGTTCCACCACAAATATTAACATTTCCAATCTGTTGTGTTGCTCTACAAGCAAATAGAACCGACACGACTGAGGGAATGTTAATAAATCATGATTATGAAGCACCATTGGCTGCGGCTTCCCTCGGCAGCCATCGAATAAACTCCATCCCAGTTTTGTCGGCGGGCACACCCTGCATGATGATGCAAGTCGCTGGGTAATTATACAGCAATTAGGATTCTGATAGGAGAAACAGCAGGTTTGTCCGCCCTCCCGGTGACAGTTGATGAACAGGGTGTCTCTCGTCGGCTTACTTTGATAGCTCCCCTTGACCTGAACTTATAGATTTATGGCCAGCTTGTTTGCTTCATTCCTTATTAAAGAGGAGCCAGCGGGCCTTCGGAAGATGACATGCCATCATCCATTTCAAAAGGAAAGGCTTATTTTAACTAGCTTTCTTTTGCTGATTATCAGCTAATGCTATTCAACCCAGGAGCCTCATGCCAAAGGACGCAGCACACAAGGGATTTTTGGTCCATGACTCATCGTGTTCCATATTTCACGCTCATTCATCATTTTTGTGTTGCTATAAATATTTTTTTAAATATCCTGAAAAGCATGTCGGAGAAAAGAATCTTTCATTTACGGAGACGTGTCAGGTGGAAACTCTGTCAAGATACTGCATGCTGCTGAGCTCCACCTGCTTAGTGCAAACCAAAGCCACTAATAAATACAGCTTTTCTTCCAACAGCTCAGAACGCAATCACAAAGTGTTCAGATATCCCAGGAACAACGAATCATCTTCTGACACTTTCAATCTTGCTTTTTATCCAGTGTTTTCCTCTCATATCTGCTCTCACAAGTTCAGGTTATTGCTGAAACTAAATCCTGTTCTATAGTAAAACAATTACAAATCAAACATTGCATGAGAAAAACAGCATGGATCCACCTGTGTGGATGTTGGGGAATTTGGTAACACAAAGGAAAGACAGCTGCGAAACTCAGGAAGAAATCCAAAGAAGAGTAGACTTCAGAGGAGTAGGCACAGAAGGGAGTCAAGGACGCCAAAAACTCAAATGAAGGTGACTGGAGGGAGCAGTTACAATCCTATAGCTGAGGAAGAAGTGAGGAGAAGAGAGGCTGACTGGAGAGTCTGGGGAAACGAGAGGAGTCTGACAGAAATGTGTGTGTGAGAGCGAGCGAGCGAGACAACCAGATTGAGAAGAGACATAAGAGACACAGGAAATCTGCAAGCAAATTAGACATCATTAGCCGAGAGGCGGTTAACAAGTCTAATTAGGGGGGAGGCAGGCAGGCAGGCAGTGATACCAGACTTGCTTCCGGACCTTAGACGCACACACACACACACACACACACAGTCATACAAACACAATATAGTCACAAACATAACGCACACACAGCCAAAGCTTCAGGCGTCTCCTAACTAGGTCAGATCTCTGAGACTTTAAGTTGGAGGGTGGGAGAGGGAGATCGAGAGGAAGAGAGAGATTGAGGAAAGATAAAAGACGGAGGGTGAGACCTTGGAGGGGATAGTTGTCTGCTCTTGGTGAGATGGAGAGACTTGTTTAAAGCTGTGAGAGTGAGATAGTGTGGAGAAAAAAAGAAAACTCAGAGAGAGTGCATCTAGTACACACCAACAGACACAGACACACATAAATAAGCGCATCCAGGTTGTTTACACACCCAACAGCTGTTGTTTTACTTCTGTCATTTACTTGACGTTGTGTTTAGGATACGAACCTGAAAGAGTGCGGCAACTTGCTGTTGTTATCTCCCGTAAAAATGTCAGGTGCATTAAATACACACTTCTACTTCGGCTGTTATTACAAAGATTAGCTGTGTGAGATGAGGGTATTGCTGTATTAGTACAGCCATCCAGTTCTCATTTTGAGTGATAGCTTGCCAGTGCCCCAGAGGGATGACTGAGTTATGTTCCCCTTGATGCGATGATGACTGAATGTCAGTTCTGGAAAGACAGAAAAATGCTTCAGTCGAACAGCCTGCATCTCTTTTCTGCTCCCTCTGCTCTCTCAGAGGCGCAGTGACAGAAAATATTGTCTCAACAACCTCTGATGATCCCTCATCTCATGTTACTCTGGCTGGATGCTTCAGAGGAATGGCTTTATTGTCCAACCAGCAACTTGGATGGCTTTTATGTCGCACAATACCATGGTGCTACTCTAAATTGTTCAGTTACCAATAAGAAAATGTTGTCATATCCAGTCCCGAGAGCAGCAACATTGAGCAGTGACTTGTGAAGTGGTCTGCCTTTTAAATCACTTTGTGAAAACTCTCTAAAGTTACTCGAGCTACAGTATGTTATGTGGGGATTTAGTGTAAAATGGGAAGTTATGGTTTTTACCCTGTGCGCCGGCTTAGCTGGAAGCAGGGTATTGTTCTCTCCCCTGTGTGTGTGTGTGTGTGTGTACAAAACAACTCAACAATGTACGCATGGATGGATTTTCATTCAACTTGGCAGAATTATTACTTGTGAAGGAATCTCCAGATGATTCAGTCTGAGAGCTGATGGGTCAAAGGTCAAGGTCCAAAAAAACACATTTTCCAAGACTTCTCTGCAAATAATATAGCAAGAGAGACAATCTAAAACTTATATTGAAAATATTTTAAGAAGATGTCGTGAAGAAGTCACACTAACAATAATACACAATTCAAACTTTTTGGAGAAGTCTCTCTGCATCTTAAAGGACTATAGACAATTGATGATGTCATCATGAAATCTCATTCCGACAATATAAAGAAGTCTGATTGGGGTATATTCAGATTGGGTCATAACGGGATGCAAGTGATTTACTTTCTTTCTTAAATGATTCCTCCAGCACACAAAGAAAGGTTAGACTTGGTGCAGCAGACTCTAAAAGTGCTGGACCCGACACTTCCCATATTGCCAGCTTGATAGCCTTCTCTCATAACGCGCTGGTTATGTAATGGTTACGACTTGCAAGGAACTCGACAACTCCACAACAGAGATGACTGAGTGATGGTTGTGTAATCCATAAAGTTTGGGGTTTAACGCCTTGAACATGAGACTTCTGAGTTTGTTTGGTCAACAGATACATGTTGTTAGAAGATAAATCTTTCTGCTAATGATCCGTCAGTTGTAATGAGACTTAAATGCTGTTTACAAGATGGAAACTGGCAAACATGAACACAGCATTAGACCATTCCTGGTTGTAAAATGTAAACATAGCTTTCCCTTATGGCTCAAGTTTCAGCTGACACACTCAGCGATAAAGCCAGAGCAGACACAATACGGCTGTTTTCACAGTCTGCGAAAAAAATCACCATGACTCCTAAATATTCTGCAATTGATTTATTATCTCACCTTTTCAGCCTTTTCTACCTCAGCAGCAGCATTGAAACAGAAACACTGCTGATTGTTTGTCAGTGAAGTGACACCAAAGTCATCAAGACTGACATTATTCCAGATTGGCTATTGGAACACAGTTGTGTATACGAACCAAATATACTGTAAATGTTTCACACAATACCTGTCTCGGGATGGCAGGTTCCGTGCTGGTGGCAGCTGCACGGCACGCATGTTGAGAAAGGCCCCCTTGCAGGGACTTCCCACGTGAATCCTGGGGCGCACCACTCGCAGAACTGCCCTGCGAAACCTGGGGGGCAGGAGCAAGATTCCACCCATGGAGCAGGAGGGCTGGCCGGACCGGTGGAGATTAAAGCAGAGGTCAGGGATACAGCCGAGAGCTGTGATGTGTCTGGAGAGGAAGGAAGAAATGGAAAAGATTGCTTAGTCATAAATTGGACACTTAAAAAAGTCAGTAGTCAACTGATAAAGTGTTTGGGGCACCTGAATGATGGGTATATACATACACACTGTATATAGTTTGTGTGTGTATGTTATCAAGCAGTAGGTTATCAGCATTTGTTGCAGTGCTGTCCCTCCCTCCGTCATTACAGGTTGTGGCCTAGGTTTACAGTGTGACACACGCACACACACACACACACAATAATAGGTTTAGCCACCCACATGCCCGTAAATGGCACACTTAACGCTCACTCACACATGCAGGCACCCACACACACGCACACCAACCGGGTAATCTTTGATATAGCAAACGAATAAATCACTGCAGCCAAGCAAGACGAGAAGAAAAAGAAAACCGGGGATTCGGTGGAGGTATGTCAGACGTGCAGCTCCTGCAGGGTTTTCAAGATCCCTCTCTCCTCTCATGAATAGTGATGGGGCAGGACATCCTGAACCTAATCACTTTCACCCTGTTCCCGCTAAACCAAAGCCACAAATGTATATTTGTTGCCAGCCCCAGAGAATGCACAAGACGGACAGATAGACAGATGGACAGATGCATGGATGGAGAAAGAGAGAGTGTGAATGAGCTGCTGCATAAGAAGGAAAATTACAATCGAAGAAACAGTGAGTAGCGAGAAAGTTGAAGAACCAGAGGGAAGGATGGACCTTGACTTCTAACAAGTCGTGATCCAGCCATTCCTTCCACGGTGATGAAACCTGGTCTGTGTGCCGCTCTGAAGGATAATGAGTTGGCGAGTCCGTCCTCTTCCCTTTTCACAACTCGCCTCAGTCTGTACCTTTCACTCTCCTTTACCCCTCCGAATCCTATTAGCTCATTTAAAAGGGGAATAAATTTGTGATTTCAGTTAATTAAACACTTCTTATTTTAAGTCACGCTGTGCAAGTTCTACCGATCAATCCTTCCTCCGAGAAACCTTGTCAGACAGGTTGAGTTTAAGTTTCCTTGACTGGAACCTCGACCATTTAGGCGTCTTTAGGTACCTGTAAATTAAGTCATTAAGCCACTGTTTTCTCTGAGACATCAAATATGGCCACTCTCCAGTCAATATGTATTTTTTTCTGGCTGAGAAAATGAATAGCTCAGTGTGACTTTATAGACTAAAAACAATACTGTCATTCCAAATACATTTCTGTTATACGAGTGTTGCTCTGTGGTGAAGAGTGAAATCTAAAGATGAAAGGAGTACGTGAGATGGAAAGCGGAGAGAAGATGACAACTTTAAGGGAATTTGGGAAGTTTATCATGCAGCCTGCAGCGATAAGGCAGCCCCCCCCCCCCTGTGATGATGTGGTGCAAAATGTAAGCTTGACTTTGTTTGCACTTTCATGTGGGTGGGTGGGTGGTTACAGGAAAACAGTTTAATGGAATATGCATGACTGTGCTTCTGTGCCTCTACAAACTTCTGTCTTTTTTTGCACGCCCAACTGCACGTGGAGCTACAGGCCAGTGAGTGTCACACTGCCTGCACTGCCTGCAACTAATTAAAATGGGTGTAAGTAAGCGAGAGAGCTGGTGATTTTTGGCCAGATGTTCTGTGTTGCCGTTGCCTTAATCCGCCATAATGCTGCTCAGATCCTGCCCGTGCTTTACAATGCAGACTATCAGATAGAGAGGGAGGAGGAACAAGATAAAAATAAGAGGAGGATTTTCAAGAAGCAGTTACAAACATCTGGGAATAAATGTCCTGTTTTCTGCTAAGCCAGATTTGGAACAGCTGAACTCGTCCCTGAACACAAACACTGTGTTTGTTTAAGAAAGTATGTTTGGTGCAAATTGAACAAGTTGTGCTGCTTGGTGATGAAAATCTACTTTAATCTATTGATATGTGAAAGTTTTGAAATATTCTGTGGCACATTCGGTTTTATTTGAAAATGGCCATGCACGCAGCAATAACGTTACATCATATTTATTTTTCTACAGAATATTATCACAACCACGCACCTAGCTGAGTGACAATGCTTACAACAACAGGAACACATATGGTATACTCTGTGTGCAGCACAACATATATGTGCAGCTAAACAACATTAAAATAACAAATGCCTAGATCCCTCACCAAAGACTGAATATAGATACAAACGCTACCATCTACCATCTTGAGTGTGTGCAGCAGCGATAAGAGGGTAGAGCCCTGCTAGCAAGGTCCCGCTGATCCAGGCACTCAACCAATCATGAGTCAGTCTCAGCTGTCAATCATGGCACGTCACCTGGCCTTTATAGCATCAAGTTACTATTTAAAACTAAACTTGCCTGAAACATGAGCACTTGGACGAAGTTATTAGTGTGATAACATTTTGCACGTGCACTTTCAATTTTTATTTTGTGCAATGCCCCATCCACCAGGACGGAGGAGGCGGGATTTATGACCTTCACTGCAGCCAGCCACCAGGGAGCGATCAACACACTTTGGCTTTACTTTGTAGGAGCTGCCATATCTTTATATACAATCTATGTCCCACACTGTTTGTGTTGCACACATCGATAGCAACGTCTGTGCACACACTGGTACACACAAACACACACTTACAATTGTGTCCTCCAGCGTTGCTGATGCTGATGGCAGTCAGGTTGTACAGGAGATGCTGAAACTGAAACGCAGACAACGTAGGTTTGAATCTGGACTCATGGAGCCTGTGAAAGAGAAGAGAAACAGAGAATTTATAGTGTGTTTGTTCTGTGTGTTCAAATACAACTAAACTTTGATTAAACACCAAAGGTTCCACATGTTAAAAAACCTCAACAGAGTAAATTTGTTTGTGAGGCAGATTTATGTACAACTGGAGTGGCTTTTGGAGCTATTTAATTACTCTCCATAACTAACTAGGAAGATATAAAAATGCCCTGCCACACATGCGGTTGATTTTTTTATGGTAGGCTATAAAAAGCACTACCATATAGTGGAAGAAAAAAAAAATGAATGTGCTGACTTCAACACATATTCAAGGTCTTGATCACTGAGCTCTGCCGTCTGCTAAAGGATGTTCTGCAAAGCCAGACTGTGCAGCGGACATCTGCCCGTTTTACTCCAGGTTTCATGCACTCTTTCTATCTTGATGACAGGTGCTGTGTCAGCGTCACACAGCTGATGTTATGTTACAGTTTCCACCTCAGTATAGTTTGAAGGTCCCAAGGGAGAGGAGCAGAAATGATATTCATATAATCTGCATGTAGGGAAAACTTTCAAACAGGAGAAACCATTATTATGAATTCCAAAAATTTGATTAAGCCATCAAATCCGAAGATGTTGATGAAACAATTTACGGTCCAGATGCTCTGCGGCTCTTATTCAGAGGTTACACGTCTTATACAATATGTAACAGCTCTGGGTCTCTCAATCAAAGCTTAGTTTGATGATGTTGTGGAGCAGTGTGGGATCATGGGAGTTGTTGAAGTTTACTTTATTATCCCAGATGGGAAACTTCTAGTAAGCTACACAGGACACACAAACACAAAATGAAAAGAACAGCATAGATACATACACAATATACATAAATGATCCCTAAAATGTCTAGAAGTCAGAAATAAGATGCCAAGTATAAAAAAGACCTGAAACTGAATTTAAAATTACATGTGCAAGTTTAGCAAAATAATTGCACAGGGAACAAAAGAGTTTTTACTCCTTTCTCACCACATGAGAAATTAAAATTCACAGTGGAGGTGGAGGTTCTTGTAGTCCACTATAGACCCGGCCATACGGAGGACCTGCTGGTGTCTTCAGCACCATTTCTTCACCCATAATCCACTTGGGTCATTAAGTAAAATAGTGGAAGTGAAAAAAAACAGCTAACTAACTGGCTAGAAGCGTGCTTTAATAAAGAATTGCTAAATATTATATCTCAAGAGGTTGTTACCCCATCAATAACACAGTGGATAATTTCTAGATGCACCACTTGTGTGGCTCCATGGAAAGCCATACTGGTTCACCACATTCGTTCAGACTGAAAGTGAAACTATTGGATTAACAACCATAAAAGTTTTTGCAGACATGCAAGGGATGAACCCTAACTACCACTGTTGTAATCTATAAACCATATTTACAGTTTTTAAAGGTTCAGTGTGTAGAATTTAGTGACATCTAGTGGTGAAGTTGCATGTTGCAGATGATAACCCCTCACCTCATCTGTAGCCTTCAGTTGTCATAAAAACTCACAATATAAATATTATGTATTTAAATATAAAGGTCAAGAAAACAACAATCTGTATAATTTAGTAATTACACACTGTGAAAACATCACTAGGATCATTTTATATTCAGTTCCTGCCAATAGATCCCTTTCACCTAAATCTTACACACTAAACCTTTAATTGAAAGTGGTGTCCAATTACAAAGCACGAGTGTTGCAATTATAGGCTAAAAGAATAAAATGTAAAGCCTTTGGTTTGTTGACCATATCAGCCTGAGGTCAGGCCTTTCATGTCTTAGTGTTCAATGGCCTCCATTTTATTAGGTCAATTGTTTTCAGCACACCACTAACACTCGTTTGCAAACGGCCTCTGTCTTAGATTCCCATTTACACTGTTTGTGTGTATGCACATGCACATTCCGAGCATGCCATGCAGACTCTCCATTTATGCGGCTGGTCCTTGTTCCCTGGCCTAACATGTAGGCATGGTAATAAAGAGAGGCAATTACAAACTGGGCCTGAAAGCCATGGTAATGAAGCTGGTCAGACAGCGATAAGCAGAGTGTGCATGAAAGTGAACAAACTCCATGTCATGCTTTCCCTATGGAGCATCACTGTCCCTTTTAATCAGCACCGAGCAGAGAGCAGGGAGCCGCACTGTAATTAAGCCTGCTCTGCGGAGGATGTGTGGAGATCATCAAGAGAGAAAAGCCCAAAAGAATACTGCACATACACATGTCCACACACACAGTTTACAGAGTGTGTGTGTGTGTGTATCCGTAGAGAAAAGAACAGATGAAGATACAAGGTGGGCAAGAGAGCAAGACATAAACAGTGTGTGAGGGAAACAACCGATAGAAATGATAAGGTACTGGGATGGTTAGTAAAGCATGTAAGTGATTTGAAAGATGGAAAATAAAGATAAGTTACAGAAAGTAAAACATGTATAGTTATAATAGTCTAATTGTTTCATTCTGCTCAAAAACACTTTATATTCAGATTTATGTAAATTTTAATACATATTGTTACAGTGTGGACACGGCTTGACTAAAGAAATGAGTGTTTGTCAACATCTCAAAAGCCTTCTTCTTTATGAGTAAAATGAGCTTATTAAGGCGTTTCAAGTCAAAAGACAGTTCAGTTACAAAGTGTATTTACTTTATTACATTTTTTATGCATCAAGTATTTTTATTTTTAACATTTTTTAAGTAATCAATATCACAAAGGGAATTGGTCCACTGATCCAATCATTAATTAATATGTCAATGCAACTGTTTTCAGTAGTATAATTTGCAGTATTTTCTTTATTTATATGACTTTGTCTTTACTATTCTTTTGTTAAACCAAATATACAGAAGGCACAGTTAATGATGATTGACATTTGCAATCGGTAGTAGGGTACATTCTGTACTTTTGGAAAAGTTAATCTGGTACTTTTACATTTACTTGAGTACATTTTTGTCTATTTATTTGTACTTTTACCCGAGTTAAATGTTTGAGTATTTCGTCCTGTACTCAGAATACGAACTGCCTAAAGCACAAGGTAATGTGATGTTCCTCCTGGCTCTGTCACCTGTATTCTGTCCAATATATTCAACCGGCCCTGATCTATGATCAAAGTCAGTGAATTTTTGAAACATGACAATGTTTGAAATGAGAAATGAGCTCAGTGCCAGATGGAGAAGGTGCCCACTCTACTAAACTACTGCTCTCCTGTCTGCTGTGAATTGGCCCGCTCCCATTTCATTTGAGCAGTTTTCTGAAACACTTCTTTTGGCTGTTGGAAAAGTGGACAGCTGATCACCGGTGAATCACGACATGTCGAACATTTATCAGTTGATTGTACAAAGTGGCTGAGCATCTGAGGGGCACCTTGTGGCATAAATATTATAGCTTCCGAGCTGGAGACGTGCACACGCAGCTACAAGAAGGGCAATAAAACCTCCCCGCCTACGTGTTCCAAGGAAACACACAGTGAACCGAGGGAACATCGGAGAATGGATGCTACCTTACAAAAGCTGTTCACCTCCTCCTCTCATCAATCCCTGCTGCATGAATCCCCACGCTATCACATATTTTCTTCCTCCTGTGTGTGTGTCTGCTCATGTTTAATCATGCTTTCAAATGCCTTTAATGAAACACTTTGCCTAAACATGATTATATTTGATGCACATGTTGCACCTGACTGTTTGAAATCACACAGCCAGATCAGCTTAAACTTCCACAAATATGTGTGTGTGTGTGTGAAAAAGTAGGAGACAGAAGGAGTAAGAGAGAAAGACAGAGAGCATGTGCTGGGGTGCATCTGTGCATGTACTTGAGGAGTGTAATGAGATCCGTAGAGAACTTCTCCAGAGAGGAACACTTCATTGCAGTTTGTGTCCCTCCCCCAGCTCCACTGAGTTTCACAGAGTGAACCACAGAGCACCTTTGGCCCGTGCTCTCTGTGCTGAGGGGGGAAACTCATTACGAGAGCGCAGACACCGGAGTGTGCCATGGAAGTATTAGAGGGGACAGAAAGAGACAAGCTGTGTCCCATTTTTCAGTTCGAGTTCAGGGCTTCAGGTTAAGAGGGTGCCCTCTTCTGGAGTTAAAAATAACCAAGCTCAAGTCAGCAAGAGTCTGACGCACAGAATCAAACTAATGGTGCATCCAAGAAACATCAGCTACGGCTGATATGTTTTATGGAAAACTCTGGCCAGTGACACATTTCTGTCTCTCTTTCCCAACACCTGACGTTAGGGAATACCAAGTTTCTGCAAGACACAACTGTCCTTTGTCAAGTATGGTTTTCCACAACCACAGAAAACAGTTTGAGTATAATGACTCATGCCCCAAACACTCAACAATCATAGAACGATTCTGGACAAGCAACTGCTCTGTGGAGCCTTCGATGCAATCACAAGCCGATCCTGTAAGTTTCTTCTTTACAACATTTATCAAATCAGACATTTTCGTGGTTGAGGATTCAACCTAGGGACAACTTACTCCCGATGCTACAAACCTACATTTTCTTCAGCTTAGCATTTTCTTATCATTTATCTGCCTTCATAGATACCTTTCAGCAGCAGTCAACAGCCTGCTGCTCATATCACTCAGTCAAAGATTGTGATCCCAGAACTAGGCAGTATTGTCAAGTTTTCAACTAATGGCCTGGTAAAGCACACAGAGACGGCAATGGAGATAATCCCTGTGCGCAACATGTCAATTTCCATGTGAAGCCTTAAATTACATTAAACCATTTGCTCTTTCCTTTGATTCACTTTAAACAAACCCCGGAAAAACAAAGAGAAATGAAATCCCTTCTTAGGGAAGAAGAGGGCTTCCCGCACTGGCTACAGGGACGAAGTTAAGTTGCTCAGCGGGCGCTGGAGAGGAGAATTTAAGATAGAAATAAATTGAAGACAAATTACAACAAAACAGTATGAAGGAGGTGCTGAGTGGGATGAGAAGGATTACTGGCTACAACACGCCAGGCCAAGCTGGAGACGAGAAAAAAAAAAAATGGAATGACTTAATGCCTTTTTTTTTTTCCCAACAGGTTCAATGTGGAGGCCGGGCCAGCTGCACCCACTCCCTAAGGTTGACAAACTTATTGAGATCTCTCCACAAAGAAGTGACTGATTACACTGCCGCTTCCCCACAGACTGTCACACCGGGGTTCACCTCTTCAAACCCAGACTGCCTCCTCCAACGAGTCACGCCTCCGGATTGACCACTTAACCATTAAGGGGAAAAAAAGGAAGCTCTGCAGGAGTCTTGCAGGAGAACCACTGGAGGTCTAATATGAGATGAATGATCCGCCGGAGCATTTCCAGCAGAGAAAGTGGCGGTGGCACAATCCTACGAATAGCTGCCTGAGAACACAGCCTTTTGTCATGTTACCTGTCATCTCCTCACCATTTAGCCAAAACTTTGACCAGCACCTTTCTGCTCACTTCCTTTTCTCATTCTCTTTACTTTACTTTGAGCCCCTGGGTGTTGGTGACTCTGCATTTCTACTGAAGTCAGTTTCTGGCATGTGATTGGAACACCTGACTGGCAAAATGCAGCATATAAATGGTATTTTTCAGTGATAAGTAATTCCCCTAAATGATCACACTAAGGGGCAACCGGGATCAACCATAGACCCTTTTCTACCCCACTGCCCACTGTCCATTTGACTACTTGCATTAACACAATACTGCAATGTTTACAATTCATATGTGCAATTTTAACAGTGCAATACCTTTTGTACTGGCCACCCCTAAGTACAATAATGTCTTTGTATTTTTTACAGGGATACTTATTCATAGGATTTGTCTTTTTCTTTCAGTGGATGTCTCTACTCGCACAGTGGATTCTCTTTTTCTTTGCTGAATTATAATCTTGTCGTACGTACAATGACAACAAAGGGAATCTTGCTATCTACATGACCTCAGCATGGGCCTGAAGGTAGCGCTGCTTTCAGGAAGGACAAGGCTGATATTGTCACTAAGCTTGACACAACAGCTCGAGGATACATGCAGATTTTTTCTGGGTCTGTCTTAAAAGAAAAATCCCAAACCCTAATGTTTTTTAAAGTCAGGCTAAGGCTAATGTGAGTCTCAGTGAAATCAAGCCTTCAAAAGTTACATCATTTTTTGTATGAAATTCTGTCCTTGTGTTATTATGACTAGAACTCAGAATGGCTCAGAAGGAAGAGGTTTTGCACTAAACCGATTCTACTTGATGTTTTAAATGAACACTGAGGTACAATTATATGTTTTATATGTATCTGAACTATTCAAATGTATTATTATACAACAATTGGACTGTGGAATTCATTATCAGTACAGACAAGAGGAAAATTACAGGCTTTTTCAGTGTACAAGGCAATGTTAGTATTCCTCAAAGATAAAGTATAAAATAAAACATCAATTTTTTAACTCAACTGAATCTCTCACTACCTCAGATGCACTTGTTTAGACAGTAGCATAAATAAACTAAGGGACATGGCGCAGTGAAAAATAAAATGCTGGGTGTCTCGAGACAATCGGTGCTTTAGTTTCATTTTCCAAATAGAGATGCTAATCAACCATCTACAACACAAACATACTATTACAACTGACACATGTACAACTTAATAGAAACTAACAGCAGACAGGGAGAAAACAAGGAGCAGACTGCCAGCTGAGGGGAGTTTAAACACCATCAGCTCTGTGTGACAGGAACTGTGTCGCAGCTTGAGTTTGATAGCTTCTATCTTTATTACAATATCCAGCCTCTGATTGCTGCAGTATTCACAGAGGTGCACTAATACTTCAATTATTTAAAAACTACAGCTTACCTACCTGCAAAGTCTAAATAATAATAATATTTTTTTACATAAAGTACTGGTGAAAAAATACAAAATGTGCATTCACATGAAATCGCATGAATAGATCTGTATATTTGGAGGTGTATGAACTTGAACGAGTGTGCTTCTATAGCAGGTGTGGGAGGCTATAGAATCCATTATACCCACTCTGACATTTGAAAGCTACAGCTCTTAACAGTAAAGTGCTGTTGAAGGTCAAAGATATTTCAACCCATAAATTTGTGGATAGAAAAAATATGAACAAAAATTTTAATTCAAACTTAACTGTGCCGTAAAGTATGAAAATCGCTGAGCCAAAACCTGCAGGCTTCAGCGGTCCACACCATATGCATGCAGGGTACATCACACACACACACACACACACACAATAAATATAAAGACAGACTAGAACTACTTGCCCTGAGGTTGTATGCCTCTCCCAACCATTTTTTTCCCCCACTGTGACCTTTGCCCCCTGAATCATTTAATGTTTGAGTCCAAAGAAAAGAAAAGATTTTCTCTGGATGTTCTTAAGCTAAACTGTTCAAAAGAAAAAGTGCTTTGTTAGATCCCAGTGACCTTGACCTGTGATTTCCAAGATCTAATCAGTTCATCATTAAATCCAAGTGAAAACTTGACAGGCGGTAAATATAATTCCTCCGGCTGCTGGCTGTCTCTGATGCAGTGACATAAAAATCCATGTCAAAAGAATGTATTTGTATGAATTTGCACGATCTTCATATGAGTATTTTGGTGCAATATCATTTATATTCTACTTTGCCTTTGCTCCCTCAGTGGCCTCGTTTTCTCATTGATTTAAATACTGTTTCATTCGACTGGCTGGCTGGAGCTGCTCGATTCCAGGAAGAAACCATGGTTTTGGCATATTAGCGCCCACTACCCACATACTGTACCTCCAGGCCATGAACTCCCCATATTCACTGGATCTATGTGCTCTGCGTGCTGTTTCCATTATCGACATGGCTCTAATTTCCCTGCTCCGACATGATCGTCGATCCAGGAGGACCCCCCCTTCTGCTCCCTGGAGCTTAATGGCGGAGTGACGTCCCCACTTCGGTCACAATATCAGACTTTAAGAATCTTAGATTGCTGCAGAAGAACCCAATATCCTCCTCTCTCCACTCACTTTATTTGTATCTCAAATCTTTGTTTACCATGATCATCTGAGGTCCATGATGAATTTCTCATTTGAGTGAATGTTTGATTGTTGCTCTCCTTTACTCTTTGTGACTTTCCACCGCAGCACACATTTCCTGCAACTCTGGGTGGGACAAACGTATAAAGAGTAAATATGGAAATGTAATGCTGCAGCTCTGTACCTGCCAGACCTACAAGACAGCCAGCGCACGGGGGAGCTGGCTCATCACTACATTCATGTCCTGACATCGTGCAGGGACCATGACAGCACAGTCAGTGTGGGTGAGCGGCAGTCACTACATTGGGATCCAGGACAGTCTTACTCTGCAAGGCTCGATATATATTATATAACAAGGAGCGAGTCAGGCGAAGGGGAGAGTCAGATGCAGAGAAAAAACTAACATCACAACATCTATTGTTATGCACAGATTCGGGCAAACACTTTGGTATTATCCATGGAGACTCAAGTTCAACAGTGGGGAAAAAAAACTAAGACAGAAGGACGGAAAGAAAGAAAGAAAAACACATGCACAGACTCACAAACTGACAGCAGCATGCCTGCATCTAGTACCTGACGACGAAGGAGTGCCATGGGGAGCGGCCGGGGTTGTGGTGGAGCACTGGTTGCGGTGAGATGTCGGCAGACAAGGTGATACCGGAGCCTTGGAGGTAAAGGGCGACGTGGTCGGGGAGCAGCTCGGGGGTCTCGGAGGTGAAGGTGATGGAGAGGAGCTGGCCGTAGCTGTGATCACGGCGACCCAGGAATTTCTCTAATGGGGGGAAGAGGTGGGGTCAGCGGGGGAGGGTTGAGAGGTGAAAGGAGCTTTATTATTGAAGTCTGAACCAACTCAACATCTAACATCTTTTAAGTAAAGTGCACACTGTTATCAAAACATACCAATGGGCTACATATGTGCTAGTTTAGGGGCCTACTAAACCTAGACCACTTGGTTAAATAGGATGTCATCACCGGTGGGGTAGGAAAGGTTTGGTATTGAATGCTTAATGTTTCGCCATTTCTCAAAAAGAGATGTTTTTGGTAATCGACATTTTGGATTCAGGTCGAGGCCGAGTTCTCTTTGTTGCTCATTCCCTAGAAAAAGGCAATCATTACTCACTATATAGTCCACTATAAAGTGAGTTTTGCCATTTTGTAATCCTGCCAGAATGTTAAGTGCAATTTTGCATTCATCGTTTTGCACAATGCATCACCAAAAGTCGCATACAACCGATCACCGTCACTAAGCGAGCAATATATACCATCATGCATTGCAGGAGAGGAGAGAGGACAGCAGGAACATCCGGACCTGTCGTCCAAAACTGAGGCAAACAAGTTTGTTTCTACATTTAAACACAGTCATTCAACGTGTTTCTGACCTACAAGTATTAATACTAAGTGTAAAATAAACATTTGAAATTTATTGTGGGAATTTCCACAAACCGAAGTAATCGTGTTATAATCGAGTTGAGTAGTGTCTGAAAGCTTTTCCTTCTTTTGCCAATGAGCTCATTAATATAGTCCTCTACATAGAAGTCATTATATAGTATAGTCAGGGTTAGTGAATGAGTTGGTAATTTCAGACATGATATGATGACTTCTCTTTTCAAAACATTAAATTATTTTTGTAAGACTTTTAAAAAATACTTTCTTCTTCATTATTTTCAAATTTTATACTGATACATCTTTTTATTAAGAGTTCGTCGTGATTTCCCAAACTGCTTTCTTCAAAACAATATTGTTTGATTATCTTGTAAATTTAATTTCTAGTTGCTGGCAGCCACATTTGCAGACTGCTCTCCAACAACTTTGGCTCAATGAAGTAAAGAAGGCTTAGTAGGCTGCTTCTAGCTTAGTACGTGACAGATATGTGATATAACGTCCATTTACTGGCCTGATAACAGTCCAACTGTATGCAAGTGTGTTGTGGTAGAGGCCGAATTAGTATTTATTCAGAAATTAGAATTTAGAAATATTCTCCCTGCTCCTTTCTCTTCCAATCTCTGTATGTGTTTCTTAAATCCACAAGGAGCACTGCAGGAGTCTAAGTGTAATTACCCACCCACTCATCTCTGCCTCATTACAGCACATTAACAGGACTTCAAAGATTCCCCCCACCCACACATTCTCCCTGTTCCCAACCCCCCGAAAAGGAAAAACACAAGTTTCCTTTAAAAAAAAAAAAAAAGACACAGAAGTCTCAGCCGCCCTCAGTGTGAATACATGGGACATCAGTATTACAGAGGGCTTTAAAAAAAACTGATTAGAACAAGAACGACTTCGCTGGCTGCCAGCTCTGGATGAGTGAGTGAGTGTGCAGAACCTGACATGGTGCATGACTGGTTGCCACCTTGTTTTTGAGTGTAATCGCTTGTGAAGTTCATCCTGAGCTCCTCTGGGGGCTTCGCGAGGGTGATTTTTGCTTCGCGAGCGGCCTCCTGCGTCATTCGGACCAATTCAAACTGATCTGTCTAATATCTGCTCGACCAACAGCACCTCTGCTCTTTTTATTTGACCTGCACCACTTTGCTGAGGACCCACGTTATGAAACTGAATTGAGCTTGTTGGCTGCTCATGGTAATGTATTACTCAGCGATGTGTTAAAGGGATTAGTTAAAGTTATGAGTTATTACTTTTTAAAGTAAAATGCAATTACATTAGTATTTCAATTAAGTCTTTCTTTCATCATTTCACGAATTTCACAGTCCAGTACATAATGCTATTTTTTTCACAAATCATTTAATGGGCTTTATTTTGTTCAATTAGTATCTCCACTGTATCATTCATCTGCTTTCACAGCTGCAGTGACTAAAATTCTTTTTTTAAATTTGAAGTAACACATACTGAGTCCATTTCCTTTCCAATAAACTGCGATTCAAACCGAACTGTTTCAGCTTCTTTTTTACAACATGAAACAACACATCCTGCTTTCATCACAGGTTTTAAACACTTTCATTTTCACTGTGGGGACACACAAGTGATTGAAGAGCGAGAAAGTTGTTTATCATTTGGCTGTGGGATCAGTATTTGTAGGAAATGAAAAGCAGTCCGAGCTGAAAGGGGAATGCTTCAATTACACGCCTAATCAATAGCACTTTCTGTTCTTTGTCCAATAGGACATCATTCATGTCAATGTGACTTGAGAATCAATGGAAATAGATAATTACAGCCAATGAGTTGCAGAGGAGCGGCTTTTCAGCAACCAATCATCACTGGTGAGGACGCAACTGTTTCTCAGTGAAAAGAACTGCCACACATCTCAGTGAAACTTCAGAATCGATAAATATTGATGACAAGGAATAAAATAAATGAATAAATCAGGAAGAGAAACGCAGATTAAATTCACCCAGAGACAGGAATGCTTTAAATTAGCCTTTTCATATCTAAACTTCTTAAGCAGTGGAAAAACAACCAACAGAGGGTGAGAGTTCTAAATGAAATGAGTGATCAATACGTGCTCTGAGTCTGACACCACCACTCTTACCAGGACCAGACCCAAACATAAATGACTCGATAGGATGTCGTGAACGGAAATAAACAATGTGTTTATTTCACGACTGCTTTCAAAACACAGTAAAGACACTTAGGTCTGAATAGATTCTCCAGTGCAAATTAGCATCAGGTAAAGATGATTAACATTAGCTGCACTGGGTGATGAAGTAATATAAATAACTAGCAACTAACAATCGACACCTGGTGGTTGGCTGCAGTATAGGTTATAAATCCTGCCTCCTCCATCAGTGGATGGGACGTAGACCAAAAATAAAAACTCAAAGCACACATCATATCATTTTTTTATGTCAGTTAAGGTAGTTCTTCTCAAACTGATGTATGTCCAAGTTTGGTTTAATTTGTTATTAGATGCTATAAAAATGGGGAGAAATGTCATGATTGACAGCTGAGATTGGCCCACGATTGGGAGAAGGCATGTATCAGTGGCTCCAAATGTGAAAGATGGCAGTGTTTATATGCTGGAATTTTTGGTTTAATTTCTGAATAATGTGGAGTGGAAAATTGTTAACTGTGGTGATGTCCACCAAAATCTTGAAACACGCAAGGGTTAAACAAATAGGGTTTCATTTATTTAATATAATTATAATCATATTATATATTATATAATAATTGCCTTTTCTCAATAAAACACCTTTGTGCAACCTTTTTGTAAAAGTCATCATCGCTGTACTCTTATCCCTCCTCTGTTAATTTGCCATTAAATAAAACGTGGCCTCTCTAGTCAGTCATACACGCACACCCACACACAGTAGAACAGCATCTGCCAGCAGATGATCATTGTTGCATTAAGTTTACAAATGAGAACACTCAGCAGAGCCACCTTTTTTTTGTGAGCAATTACCTATATTTGGGCAGTGACGCACTGTAATAATGAGTAATGTAAGAACTCGTGTTCACAGAAAATAAAAGTCAACGAATATTACTTTTGAAATGATTAATAGGAAATATACGCCGCACATTCCTTGCATAACGGTGGGTAATGAGCCCAGTAATGCTATTGTGTGACTAAGCTAATATTCTCCCATAAAGTGCACCCTTACAGTTGTGAGTGGTTATGTTTCAGGTATGCCCTGCTGGCCATTACTCTGCTGGGGTCAGTGTGGCATCCTGGGAGTTCTCCCTCTGCCTCTGATGATAGAGGCACCAAAGCAATAATTACTCACAACCTTAATAGACCAACCAAGAATGGCCCCACTGGCGGATGCCTCTCCAAAGCAATGAATCACTATGAAAACACAATGAAAGGATTATTCATGTGTAAGTGATCAAACGTCCGTGTATTGCCGCGGATTTATATTCATTATTTTATCTCACATGAAAAATAGGAGGAAATTAAAAAGTTTAGCCTTCTCCAAATACCACAGTGTACAAGCTCTGCATATGTGAGAATGCTGTATACTGTATCTCCTATCATACTATTTGTAACACTCAGTGCACTGCTGGACCATTTGTCACTAAAATATTTGCCTTCTTGCCAAAAATGTATTTAATTGCTATTTATTTCTGAGTAGGATCAACAGGGAGCCTACACCATAACCTACATGCCGACATGCCCTCTTGACTCATCAGTAAAGTAAGCCAGTAACGTTACATTATTTTGCTGCGGAAAAAATATATGTACTGGGAGGTGCACATTAGGAAGAGGGAAATTGAAAACAGGAAAATTGCATAATCAAATGTTGTGGCTTTGGCATAATTCTATACTTTGGTTTTCATAAGGTTCCTAACAGGATATGACCTTTTTATTTGTTAGCTTTGGTGGTGCTAGTAGATGGATTTTATACCTTTTGACAGAACCAGGCTAGCAGTGCTCATCCCCCAGTGCTCATCCCCCTCGTATGAGTTCTGTATTTCCAAATATGATAAAGTTATATTTTTTGTCAAAACAGAAAACATTGTCTGGTTTCATGATCTCTAACAAGCTTTTTTAAGATGTCAACATTAGGCATGGGATCTAAAGAAATTATCAGCAGATTATCCGACATTACAAATAAAGTGTTTTAGCCCTCTGTTCCTCCAAATTAAAGCTGCATCTATTTCAGTCAACATATTGAAGAAACAGAATGGAAATAAAGCACAACTTCAGTCTGCGCCACTCTTTTTCCATTTTGTCTATATGAGTCTGTCAGAATGATGTGAAGTCCACTGACTGTGCTGCCGTTGACATTCTGCCAGGAACACATAAAACCACCATCACAACAAGTGATAGATGCCCGAATAACTTTTGGGGAATGGCGGAGGAGCTCACGATCAATCAGG